AGTAGGGGAAAAGGAAAGAAAACCTTTACAAACCTTGTATAGATTTCACTACCTTTCCTTTCTCTACCTTTTATTCCTTCAAACCAAACATGGCCAAAGGTAAACCTTAATGGGTATTCTGGTCTATTTAATTTTATGTTTAATTAAATAGAGGCACTGTTGAGGCATTGACAAAAATTTACTGCAATGTGTGATCAGATGCTAATGACAAATAATGACAGGCTAATCTTGGGTAGTTTTGTCTTGGCAGATAATAGAGGCGGTTTTAGTGTTTTTAGGGATGTTACATTGGCCGAGTCCTGAAAGTTGTCATCTGTTAAATTTAGAATGGGCCCAAGCCTAAACATGAGGTTGAAAATTTTCAATGAGGGCAACCCAACTTGCAACCCTAATTCAAAAAAGCTGATGAAGGGATTTATTTAGAAGAATCAAGAACATTGTTAATTTGGAACAAAATCTATGGTGCATCTTAGGGGTGAGTATGGGTCGATTTGGTTCGGTTTCATGGCAGAACCTGGAACCAACTTTGTAGGGGTCAGTTTCAAGTTTTTGGAAACGGAACCTACCTTGTGAAGATCGGTTCCGGGGTTCTGGCCTTGGCGGTTCCAGGGTCTCCAATGGAACATGTTCTTTATTTATTCCCCCTCTTAAAAAAATGAAACATGTCATTTAAAAAGTTGATTTTCAATAATGATAATATATAATTTAAAACTTATATTATGTTTATTGATTAAATTGAATAACTTAATATGCAGATTATTATAATATATTAACATACGGTTCAAAATTTATCATATTATAATTTAATTTTTATAAATATTACCTCTTACATTATTTATTATACACATTTAAATATTAAAATAAAAACAAATGATCAAATTACTTAAGTAACTCAATGGTCAAGTGAGACCATGGCTTTTATAACAATGAGTGCTTGAGTTCAAACCTTCACATTCTTAAAAATATTTTGGAGTTTATTTAAAGGCAAGTTTAGATCCAAGGTTGGTTCCACTAAGGCCAACCAAGGCCAGTTTATCGGATCGGTTCAGGTACGATAAACACCTAGACCTTTGGAATCGACCTGGGTAGGGGTCAATTCCAAGAATTTGGAGCAGACCATACTCTATAACCAATTGGGTAGGGTTGATTCAAGGTCAGTTCCATTCAATTCTGGGTAGAACCTACCTATTTGTTCACCCCTAGTGCATCCTCTTGCACCATGCAGCAAAAGATATGAACCAATGAAATCTCTGTTTCATCATTTTAAAAATACACCTTGTTAAACATGAAAATATACTTTATGAAACGTGAATCAATAAAAAGTAAGAATTCTTAGTATATGTTTGGCATTGATGCTACTGATATGTGGGTTAGAAGCACCATTTTCTCAGAAAACAATGTCTTTTTTTTTCTGTTTGGAAACATTGCTATCAGGTAGGACAATTCCTGGAGCAACAACACCACTTTCTCATTGGTACCAATGCTCCATCTCTGTTTTTTGCACTGGTATCCATTATAGGAAGTCCATGTCACTGCCACATCATGTCCTCATTGACAATAACAAGCTGCAATCCGAGAAAATACCAAATTCGATGTTGCTCCAAACCACATATTCTCAATTTCCAAGACATAGTTTAATGATTCCAAACAAACAGACACTTTTTAGAGTACCGTTTTTTTCTGATGTGGCACTGATGTATCACCGTTTTCTAGAATAGTGGCATTGATGCCAAATACACACTTAGTTATTAGTTGAGATCTATATTTAATATACAACTAATATCAGTGAATAAATTGAACTCTGAATTTTGATGAATGATTACCATTAAAAATTAGGGTGTAACTAATTACTTTGATGTTGTTTTTCTTTAGCATTATTAAAAATGCGAATGATTAGCAGTTGAGATGATCAGTCAGCAACTCAGCATCCCTCCAAGATAAGGAGATACAGGATTGAACTTATAGAGCTACAGGCTCTTTGTGGTTTGACAAATGGCCTCAGATGCATCATGCTCTGTTCCCACCCATGATTCTCCTGTAATGTGAAGTATATATATACTTTTTGAATAAAATTACTATAAAATAATTAGATGAATGGAAATAAAATCCTGAAGAAAATAGGAAGAATAAACTTGCCTATTAGAGACATATAAATCGGACAGGAAGAAATCAAGTATCCAACATTGTACCCTACTTGCCATTGAAGATAAGATATCTAAACTATGCACACACTTTAGAATCCAGCGTATTTGGGAACATCTCCTGCGGCTGGATGCTATGTAAAAGAGTTTTGGTATCCAATCGGTAGTGACTTAATCACGTAAGGACAAAATTTAATCACAGAATTTTATGTTGATATTGGTGCTGCTTTAAAAAAAATCGCAAGAAAAGGAAAAAAAAAAAAACAAAGGTAAAAGCAGCACAAAAAACTATGTATCAACTTAAAATTTTGTGATTAGATTTTGATTTAAAGTCAGTCACTACCATGTCATTATTTTTGTAATTTCTCTCTCTACTATATTAAGTATATAGTTGTTAAATAATTTCAAATTTCATTTTTATATCTAGGAAAATACACAATTTTGATGGAAAATTATATTTTCTCTCTTGTTTTGTCTTTTTAATTTTGTTAGGGAAATGGGTTAGGTCTCAACTGCAACCAGTAGGAGAGGTTACCACTTACCATAGATTTCTGTTGGGACCTTCATATATCACAGAATTAATGGGGGGGCTACATCTCTGACTTTACTTAGGTCTTTTAAAATCATTGAAAAAAAAATACCTCATTTAAGAAGTTAAGTTTTATTTGAGTGGGGCAATTGTAAAAAGAAATCAATAAATTTCTTCATATACCCCTAATTAGGTCTTTCCCTCTTTGAACCCTGTTAGTGAACTCATATGTTACTCTTATCCTTGCGAAGCCAGGAGCCAAATGACTTTTCTCTTGGGTTGCTTTTGTTGGTCCATTTTAGAATTCCTTTTACATTCAATTTACCGTTTTTTTACTTGTTTTATTAACTTTTCTGAAAATCACTCAAATAGCAATTTTTTTCATATAAGGAATCCTCTGGTTCATCTCCCTTTTGGAAAGGTAATGGTCATGCTTGAGACAAAGTTTCACGTGTACACACAACTCCACCATGGGTATGGCAAAAGGATAGGTTCAGGAGGGTTTTCTAAATTTTAAGGAAAATTTCAGATTAGTACCCTTTACTTTGGACCTAGTGTCACTTTGGTCCTTGAACTTTAAAATGGAACAAATTAGTATCCGAACTTTTAAAATGTATCAATCCAGTACCTATCGTTAATCAACTGTTAATTAATCGTTAAGTGGCATTTGAAAAAGATATAAATGCCCTTCAAATGTCATCTAATTTTCTTGATCAATCCATCCAAACGTTGATAAAATTAACAGTCTCAAATTCTTGTCCTTTCTATTCAAGAATGTTGACATCAAATAAACAGACCCCAACTTTCTTGAATAGAAGAGGCATGGATTTGGGACTGTTAACTTTTTGTCAATATTTGGATGATTGGTCAAGAAAATTAGATGATACTCGAAGGACATTTGTCTTTTTTAAATGCCACTTAATGGCCGATTAATAGTTGATTAACAACAGATACCGGATTGACACGTTTAAAAATTTTGAGTACTGAATTATCGCATTTTAAAATTCGAGGATCAAAATGACACTAATCCCAAATTACAGGATACTAATCGAAAATTTTCCCTAAACTTTTTACAGATTGTGCCTCTACTGAAACTCTCAACGGATTCCCTTTTCAAAACCTAATCCTCTCCAACCCTACCCTCCCCGCATTTGAGGGTGGGGCGAGTATGGTCCATAACCTATATAAATACAAGCAAAATAACACGAAAAAACATTAATGTTCCGATTAGAATTGTCAATGGGTTGGGTCCTATCCAATGGAACTGATGGACTCAGACCAATTGGACCGGTTCTGGTTCCAATTAGAATTGTCAATGGGTTGGTTCCTAATAAGCAAAATGGACCTAGAACTTATCCCAATGCATTAATTCTGGTTCTTAATAAATTATTCCAATTATTTTGGGTAGAAATCAGGTCCACTATGTCCCAAACCAATTTGGACCCGACTCAAGCGTCTATATATATAATATAAAACATAATGAGCCTTTACCTTTCCTTCGTTTCTTCTACAAAAGTCAAAGGAGCTGCCTGAACTATACAACCAGTGAACCATAATATCATTGTCTCAGGAGTCGAACTGGTTTTGGTTGTTCTAAAAGCGGATCAAAACCCGAATAAACCGTACATTTACCAAGAAACCCTTTGTCTAAAATTTGTGTTTCATTCTCATGGTATACTTTATACTTAACAGTATTATCACATTATCATCTCCAGATGTATCAATTTGAAAAATAAACATGTTTATTACCAAATTGTAGCTTTTTTTTATTAAAATCAAATTGTAGCTTATAACTTATAAATAAAACTGCTAAGTGCTTTATCGGGTCCTGATAATGGGCTCTTTTTGATTGACCAAACGGGTTGATCCATTATTCAATAGGAAGTTAGGAACCCAATTTTGTTCATTCCAAATTCCCAATGTTTTCAACGGTGGTGCCCTTTGGACTCTTTCAAAGGTTGAGAAATTGATTCGGTTCCTAGAATTAGGGTGATGACTAAGGAAACTACTAGAGTTCTAGACCCAGCGTGATAGCTAATGCTGATTTACTCAAATTAGGGTTAGGGTTAAGGAAATCTAGGGTTTATGGAACAGCTTAAGAGTTGGGGAGAGAGAAAGAGGGGGGAGGGTACTGACTATAAATAGAAGATAGAGAGAGGGGCCAGGGCCCAGTGGCCAAGAGTGGGACCCCTTATACACCGAACCAGACGTGCCATACGACTGAGAAGGGCTCCGCCACGTGGGCTCGACGACTCATCTCGAATCCCTCATCTCTCGATCTGTTATCTTGAGGCGTCACGCCCTCTCTCCCCCTATAAATAAGCTACTCCGTTCCCTTCTCCGTCTCGTAACACAGCTTCTCGACTTCTTGTTGCTCATTGTTATTGTTTCCCTCTTTCAAAGGTCTTCTTTTTCTTCTCCATTTCCATCGATTTATTTGCTTCCTCCTCAACAATCCACCAGGGGCAGTCTTCAAAAGTTCTCGTGCTCCTTTCTGGATTCCTTTTCTTGTAGCGTAAGTTCTGGTTTTTGATCTCTTTTGTTATTATAAAGCTTGGGTTTATTATCTGGGTTTTTGTTCTCATATGTTCTTGATTCATACAAAGGCATATTCTTTGCAGAGCCTACTTGTAGTGCATTCTTTCCTCTGCATGTTTGATTTCGAGATTCTTTGTTAGCATATTGTTGGGTTTATTATCTTTTGCGTTGCCGATTTCTTCTTCTCTTGATTTTACTTAAGAGGGTTCTGTTGTGGTTCGATTTCTTCCTCGGTCGTTTATTTTTTACTTATTTATTCTCTTTTCTTTCTTAAACATTGGATTTCTCTTTCTGCGTCTGTTTCTTTTAATTTCTTCGATTTGGGTTTCTTTTCTTTACATGACTGATTCATTACATTCGAATCTTAAGATCGGTTTTTAACTTCGTTCTGCGATTTCATGTAGATAGATTACCTATCGTTTCTTGGTTCAACAACGTTTTCAATGGTAAAAATTTCAACTTGCAAATCGTCTCAGCAAACCAATAAATCTGTGCTTTGGTCCCGTTGCAGGAAGCGTGAATGTTTTAATGGAGTCTAAAGGTGGCAAGAAGAAGTCTAGTAGTAGTTCCTTGCAATACGAAGTACCCCTTGGCTACAGCATTGAAGATGTTCGACCTCACGGTGGAATTGAGAAGTTCCGATCTGCTGCATACTCCAACGTAAGATCACCCAGAAGAAAAATGATTGGTTTAATCTGTCATTCCCTTGCTTCTTCATTGTTTTTGATATGTTCTACATGTTTCAATCTTTAATGCTCTGGTTTCTCTTCTTTGATTTTCGCAGTGCGTGAGGAAGCCATCCTGATATACCCTCCAAATGCCTTCTTCGGTAGAGTAGGATTTCTATTAAATTTCTTTTTCAATTCTTGGAATAAGCAAAACTCTCTGGATAGCTGTTCGTTGACAACGGAAGAACGATTCTCAAACTCGTCTCTCCATTACCTCTTCTTCAACTGATATTGAGATCTTCATTGAAGCCACCATGGCCGTTGTACTGGGTGACACCAATACCCAGCCCCCACAATCTTCTGCAATCGGTTTTGAAGGCTTCGAGAAACGGCTCGAGATTACCTTTACTGAAGCACCCGTTTTCGTCGACCCGCAGGGACTCGGCCTCCGAGCTCTGACTCGGGCCCAACTCGACTCCATCCTGGAGCCAGCGAGGTGCACTATTGTAGATCAGCTCTCCAACTCAGAATTCGACTCGTATGTTCTCTCCGAGTCAAGCCTTTTTGTGTACCCTCTCAAGATTATCCTCAAGACCTGCGGGACGACGAAGCTGCTTTTATCAATTCCACCGATTCTCGAACTCGCCAACTCGCTCACGCTCTCGGTGTACTCGGTGAAATATTCCCGCGGGAGCTTTATTTTCCCAAATGCCCAACCTGCCCCTCACACCAGTTTCTCTGAGGAAGTCGCTGTGCTCAATGGTTTCTTCGGCAATCTCCCTTCCGGTGGGCAGGCCTACGTGACCGGCGATCCGGCAGTTCCGAATCGCAACTGGCATGTTTACGCGGCGTCTCAGAAGCCACCGATGTCATCAATGAACGATCAGACGGCCGCTGTTACTCTCGAGATGTGCATGACTGGCTTAGACAGGGAATGCGCATCAGTTTTCTTCAAAAAATCGGAGGACTACACGGCGAAGGAAATGACAAAACTCGCCGGAATATCGGATATTCTCCCGTCGCACGAGATATGCGATTTCGACTTCGACCCCTGCGGGTACTCGATGAATGCAATCGACGGTGGAGCTTATTCTACAATCCACGTCACGCCGGAGGACGGGTTCAGCTATGCGAGCTACGAGGCGATGGGATTGGACCCCGGTTCAGTGGGGCTCGAGCCGCTTCTGAGAAGGGTGCTGAGGTGCTTCAGACCGGCCCAGTTCTCGATTGCAGTGACGCATTTTGGTGGTGGGGCTGAAGAATGGGGAGATGACGTGAGCGTGGAAGGGTACAGGTGCGAGAATGTGGTGAAGCAGGAGATGCCCGGAGGGGGGTGCGTACTGTACCGGTGTTTCACGGGGGCTGAGAAGGGGTGCGTACTGTTTTCGTCCTCTCCGAAATCTATTCTGCATTGCTGGGAAGACGTTGTAGCAGAGGAGGAAATGGAGAGCGTGGTTGCTTGTCACTGCGTTTCTTCTTTAGCCTAGCGAATAGTAGTAGTATTGTGTTTGAGTGGTGTCAGCCAGCCCAGTTAGCGGCTCTGTTCAGTCGGGTCGGGTCTGATTCTGTTTTTCTTGAGAGAGAGAGAGGTGTTTTGTTGTGGTCGTGCATCCTAGTTTTGAACTGAATAAGCTTGGGCCAGTGTTGGCTTAATTTAGAAGCACTGTCTGTTTTTATTATTTTTGTTTGGTCAGAACTCAGAAGCAGAGTGTGGTGTGTCTTCTTGTGCCTGGTGTTTGGTACTGTTTTTGTGTTTTCATAAAGTTAAATATTATGAAATTGGAGTGGTTTATTGTAAAAAGAATTTTTAATAAGTCGTTTATGATTAATGAATCATGAATGAGTGGTGGTTACTGGTAACATAAATGATTGGCGTTTAGGGATTTATGATTGAGATTGTATGATGATGGATGGAATGGACAGGTCGGGTCCCACTTGGCCAATGGGGGTGGGGGTGAGGAATGATGGACGGTGGAGGATGGAAGATTCTCTCTTTTGTGCATTTTGCTCTTTAATTTAGCGATGCACAGCGAATCTGCTTTTTTTGGGGGGGCTTTCATTGGGGGAGAATTTCTTTTTTGGGTCTCTGTACTGTGGTGTGGGCCTGTGGGGTGGGCTGCTGCTGGGTGTTCAGCTGCACTGCAGAAAACAGAGTCTGAGAGTGAGGAAGGCTGGCTTTGTGGCTTTGTCCCTGTAAAGCCAGTTCTTGGGCTAAAAGCTCGTACCGCGAGCACAACCGTGTCAGTTGGCCTTAGAGAACCAATAGTAGTTGTGTGACAGCATCAGTATGTCAGGCCTGTTTGGTAATTTGTACAGAAGGCACATGCGGCATGGTCTGAGCCCTGCTTTAATACCGGACCACCCAGATGAATGAGAGAAAGAGAGAGGAGTTTCATTCTGATTTCTGCATTATTTGTTCAAAATTGTTCAGGGCTTCAATTTTTTTTTTTTTTAAATACTAAAAATAAGCTTAATTTCAGTTACCAAAAGGTCCAAAACCTCGGATAATGCGCTTTGCATGCTTGGAATACAAGTGTGAGCTGAAAGATTCAGCTAAGCTTTTGCCAATAAGCTATTCAAAGAGGCCATAGCAGTAGCCAGATAGCCCTTCAAAGAACTAACTGGCAGCTGATTGGGCTCTCCGAATTTTCATACAAAGTAGCTCATAGGCTGTTCATGTGAGGCCCACATTCTAAATAAGCAGGAAGCTACGGTGCAGTCGGTGCTTCCGCCATTGAGGGCGTTGCAGGGTGGGTTCCACCCAAACAACAGAAACCCTAAACAGCCCAAAATGACGGTCTGAAGTTAGAAATATGGCCTTTCACTGAAGCTTTTTTTTGGTGTCCTCCAAGCAGCTCAGTGAAAGCATATCTCAACCAATTAGGGATGGAACTTCGGTCAGGTTGGTTAAGAAATTGTTAATTTATTTTTTGGTAAATGGAGAGAAAGAACAGGGCTACACAAGCCTGGGGAAGCCCTTCCCCAACAGTCACAAAAGCATAAATTTTCTTGTCACTAGCTGAATGGCTTCCAATTTCCAAAGCTGCCCCCTTACACCTCTCAAGAAGTTGTTAAACTTTTAATGAGCCTTAAGCCCACTAGCAGTTCTACCACCCTTCAACCCTCCCAAACGGGCCCATGATCGTCAAGCCAAGCTCTGGATAAGCCCATCCATCCATCATCAAAGTACCAATGCATATAGGTCATGGCCCAGGCAAATTAGGGAAAAGTCACTAAACGCCTAAGCACAGTCCTGGGTGGAATAGCTTGAGAGTTAACTTCGTCTATGGTTAAAATTCTATTCCAAAGAATCTATGGGCACTTGAGATGACCCCATTTTAGTGTAGCCCATTTGAAACACGAATTAGTGTTGGGTTTGAAATTCAAGCTCCCCCAAATGCAAATCACTCAAGGGTGGGTGTAAAACAAACCAGACTTGACCTTATGGGTCTTGCTTGAAGGTAGGGAAACCTTTACAAACCTTGTATAGGTCTTCTTGCTTTTCCTTTCCTTTCCCTATTTTTTCCTTCAAACCAAACACAACCTTAGATCTTGCAGAACTTGAATTCGATTCTCTGGATCTTGTGAGTAGTGATCTCAATTTTAACCCTCAATCCTCTTCATCTCTGGCTCTCTGTTCAACGGCTACATTCTCACAGGTTGCGTCACTAGAGAAAGCAATGTATTCCTAATTCTATTTCCTTCCATTTGGTTGCTTAGTCTCAGTTTGGAAGAGTAGAGTGCAAAACTTTGTATTTTGTAATCTTTTGTTTGTACTTGTATTTTTTCCAAACTAAGCCTTACATTTGAGTTGGTGTTCAATTTTTGTTTTCCTTTTTTTTTTTTTTGGGGGGGGTGGATCATGGTTTTGGTTTTAGAAGAAAACAAGCAGCAATATACATTGAATTAAATCAAATAGAATAATTCAAAACTAGAAGAAGAAGAAGAAGAGAAGGAGAGGGAGACGAGAGTATGGTAAGTCCCTCTCCAGCCTCAAATCGATTTTATTAGTTCTAATAAGAATAAATGATAAAATTATATAAATGCGATAATGAGATCGGCTTCAGTCAGTGCAACACTGTTCAAACAACCTTGCATTGGGAATATCTCCATACTTGTGTGTTTTACTTCATGGGAAGATATTCCCAATCCAAGGCTATACAGGTTGTTGGAACGGACCTTGCACTGACTGAATCCGGTTTCTGGGATAACGGCTTATAAACATAGATAAAAAGGCAAATAGGCCCATTAATATAAAACATAACAAATAAATTAAGATGCATCCGGCACAATATCTCTGTAGTTTTGAAGCCACTGAAGATTTATAGGCTGCCTTCATCCATAGTTATGTCCTACTTTAGTTTTAGATTATTTGAAGATTTGGTAACTCATCGTTACAAATGCATAATTTCAAATCAGTTGAGGGAACATGGATCTGAATATTATTCATGCATGGTTTATTTCTTCTTGATCATGCGAGGAATTTAAATTCTATCTACACTTTTAATGATGTCCTTTGCTGAATATATTTACTCCATTATCCTCCACCTGAAATTAGAAGCAGTTGTTTGCAGAAACAACCAAGTGGGAAAATCAAAATTATGAAATGCCTTGCACACCAAAAGAATAAATTCCCTTGTCACATGCTTCTGTGGATGTAGGATTAAGACTATGATTTGTTACTTTATTTCTATTAAATTTTCTGTCGAACCGAACAATCCATAATGGTTAAATATTAAGTAAAGTTATGACTTTGTTTAGTTGGCTCGTTTCTTTGGCTAGGTGGTTTTGGTTCAATTTGAACCTGTAAGGAGAAAGAAGGTAAAGGAAAAGAGAAGACTTTGTTTGTCTTCCCAAGTCTTTAACTGAATAGAACTGTCTAAATCACATGAAAGTATTTCCATTGTAGCTTGGCTAAACCATATATAGGGATGATCAACTTAGAAACCTAGGGGGTGATAATTTTTTCTACAACTTTTATAAATTGATTTACATATTTTTTATATTTTTATTGTTTAATTTAAGACATCACAAATTGATTTGTTTAACCTAGAGAGAAATGCAGTTAGAAATTATTTTTATAATGTTGATTTTTATTCATTATTTTTATGTTGTGGTCATATTAGACTACTCAACTCATCACCAACTCACAAGAGTTTAACACCAAATTGCTTGCCTGCAAAAATCTATTAACTCTAACTCAGGAAATGTGGACACTTGTTTTTGTTTAATACTAAACATATCTAATACTAGGGATGTTTCCGGAATTTAATATATTTTTAATCTTTTTATATTCTATATATTGTTTATTTTTATTTTTAATTATGATATCATGTATTAACACTTTCACTTGAATAGCTAAACTATGAAACAATCACCTTGTTAGCATAGATGTAGTAAATAACCACAAAGCCTATATCCTCTCCCAAGCACACCACCTGAGATTTTTCCACTACACCAACTAGACTTCCGGGTGCTAACAAGATAAATCTTTTATAATTGGACTTGTGGATGTCGATAATACCTTTACAGCAATTGGACTTGTGAGTGCCAACAAGACATGTTATCAGATAGACTTGCAAGTGTTATCCAGAACTTTTATTATTAGCAAATGAAGCAAAATGAAACAATTGTGAGGGTATTTGGTTCGGCTTACATTTATTCATTAAATGTTTATTGAGGGTGCCAAATAGGCACCACTTCAACATTTTCTCTCTCTTGCTCTTCAGCATGCATCGAAAATGAAAAAAGTCAGCTTTGGTTTATGTGCATGCCAGCCATTTGTGAAAATTATTTTTTAAAGCTTCCACAAACGGCCAGGTGCTTTTTCACTGTTATGCTGATGTGGCGCCTAATTGTCATAAACGGTTGTGATTATTGCATTTTTTTTGTTTTATCAGTAAATAAAGTACAAACGTTTATTCAATAAACATAAACGGAACCAAACACATACTTGGTTTCACCGTTTATCAAATAAATAGTAAAAAACCAAAACGCTTTGATTTTTGTGCATGGGGCATTTGGGAAAACGTCAAATTCCTGTTTCCCCCAATGCCCAGTGTTTCTTGAAACCAATTGCTGATGTGGTACACTTTAATGGGTGTTAATCTGATGTAGAAAGTAAAAAACGTTTAAAGTGATTCAAACAAACAACAAAAATAGAAAATATTTAATGTAAAAAACGTTTAAAATAAAAAAGTGTAAATAAACGTCTATCCATAAACACCCACATAACCAAACACATACTAAATGGGTATCCTTGTTGCAGCACCGAGAAGAGAAGTTAATTGAACAGTGAGGGAGAAGATGAAAAATAGTTCTGCAATCTGCAATAATATCAGAGATTCGCCAAAGAGGATTGGAGGATTCCTCCAACAGAGCATTGATCACAATCTGCACGTCTCCCTCAATTTGGACATGTTGAAAGTGAAGAGATGAAATGAGTCTAAGCTTCCAAAAGAGCGTGGGCTTCACTTTTAATAGCTGAGGATGGACTGAGCTTTATAGCACAAGCAAATACAAAAGATCCATGGTGATCCCTAATAATCAATCCTGCACATGCACTTGATTGGTTGAGTTTCAACCAAGGCTTCATCCACTAGACCACTTATATTAATAGATTCAGATGGGTCGTGTTCAATCTTGGCTTATAGCTTCAACCATCACATCTACCCCTCCCAACTGAACATAAATTTCATTAATGATTCTTCATTATCCAAGACAAGACGACAACGGGCTTTCCGTAATGGCACATCGAGCAAAGAATGGGAACATGATCTTTGGAACAGGGATCATCTAATAATAAAGCCAATCAGTAATCAACCAATATCAACATG